AGGGCTTACCACTCATTACTATAACCGCATCATTTACCTGTTAAAGACATACTCAAGAGTTACGGTTAGTTCATAGAGTGGTATTTATAGTCCACTCAAATTTATAACTTATGTTAATATAAAAAAATTAATAACGTATTGAAGTTGTTAATACAATTTCAAAAATTATTATACAACACACAATGGTATATTTTTAAAATTATAAATTATATTTATTTATTTTTAAATTGAATAATAATTTTCCTAATAAAAATAAAATAGTAATTCTTAATTTTAGTGAAGTTGTATTTAATTAATAATAAATTGTATTTAAGTTTGTTAAATTTTCTGATTTTAAGTCTCAAATATGATTACTATATATTAATAAAATAAATAAAATAAAATAAAATAAATGTATAAAAGGATTTTAGCTCGATATTACAGTATAGGGTAACACAGTATTACAGTAATGCCTTTTTAACTTTTAACTAAATTAAAGTTTTTGAACGTTCAAGGGTTTGTTATTACTTTTAACCCATTCTTTAATTATTATGTTCAGATTATCATATTTTCAATTTTACAATTCAACATACATACAATTTCTTATTTATAGAATAAATGAGCACAATAATTTCCGATTTTATTGCTTGCTAGTTCAAAGTAGATTCATGTTGTATTTTGTGTGTTATTTATAATGTCGAATATTCAGAATTTACATCCTTAATTATAAATAATATCTTACAAACATACAATGCAACAATGATTATTAAATTAAACAATATAAAGACTACTTTTAAAAATTCTTTATTTTTTATAAATTCATGTTTTTAATCATAACATAAATAATATTAATAATCATAATAATCATAACAATTTTGAGCAAATCTTAACATTTGCTAACATTAATAATATCTTATATCGTATATTATCTGATTGATTGATGTTTTAAATAAAACAATTTAAAGTTACGCCAAATAAACTTAAATAAATAGTTTGATTTGAAAATAAATAACAATTTTATTAGATATAAGAAAATAAGTTTTGATTAAAAAGCACTTTTAATATGAAAGCAAACATTTGGCGTAAAATAGATAAAACAAATAATTAAATCAATTGATCAAAATGTCCTAGAAATTCTAAAAATTGATGTTAATTTGGTATTGTTTATAACTTAAGACTTGGCACAAAAATTTTCAAAATTGAGTTAAAGTTTAAAGACAAACAAATGTAAGAATTAATAATAAATTGATTAATTTTTAAATCATTCAATAATAAGATTACATTAAAAATGCATTTAATGGCAGTGAAACCACTGGACTGTTGTGTTAGTTGTGATTTACAATATTAACAATAAGTTTACTATTAATTACAAAAAACCGCTCAATACTGATACCAGGGTTGCTTCCGCACCCATCGCACCCGTAGGCCACTGTCCGTACGAATCTTGATGGAGGCGGCCTCACACGCGCGCACCGTCTCCTTCACCGATTGCATCAGATTCTGGGCGTTTCCCACCAACATCTCTGTCGCCTCCTCGTCCTCCTCCGACCCTTTCCACCAAACATTTCATACATATTATAATTGCTGTCATTTGCTAATTAGTCTGTCAATTCAGTGTAATTCTCCCAAATTAATCATCCCATTTATAAACTAACTATGCCTCAACAAGCACATATTCTTCATATTATATATCAAATGAGTCAATATTATTTATAACTGTAATACTCTTATAACAAGATACAAATAACTGTAATGCTACAAAATCTAACTAACAAACTTTAAAATACATTATAAACTGAACCGGTAACATCTAACAAGTAAGAATTATTTAGAAATGTAAATCTTATACAATAAATTGACAACTTCAAAGAGTACAATGTTAAATGATTTGCTACAGAGAGTAGTTTGCCTTTAATGCAAATCACTTCAAACACACTTTATAACTAAATTTTTTAACATTAAATTGTGAATTTTATACCAGTATATGTAGTAATTTAACATTGAATATAATTGCAAACAAGTAGACATACCCTGTGCACCCAACATTGTGGCTTTGACAGTGGATAAGATTCTTAATTGGGTTCCAATGGTTGGAATCCTTTCACAAACTTGAAGAATATTCTATAAAAATACAAAAGTATAGATTCATATATTTTTAATTAATATAAAAAATAGAGTTCGTAATGAAGACATACAGTTCGCATGCGTTTATCAGTGCAGAGCTTAGCCTGGTCTTTGGCCAGTCGTGTGACCTCCTCGGAGGCCTCGGCAATGGCTTTGGCGCAGGCAATCAAATCCTTTTTGGTACCGCCCTCTCCGCCACACAACTGACTCAATCGGGCCATAAGGAGTGCCATCTTCTTGGCCGCAGCGATGATCTCATTCTCTTTACTCGACCACTGCTTCACTTCCAGATGCAAATCATGGGCCGCCATCTGACGCAAGACAACAATAATTAGCACAAATCGCTCATCAAAAGTAGCGGACAGTCATGTGATAGCAATACCATAATTGGTTGGTTTGGTTGCAAAACAGGGAATTGTATTTCAAATTCATCGTCCGTTTCGGGCGGTGGAGGTCTGGGTGGCGCTGAGCCAGCCATTGGTGGTGGAGGACGAGGAGGTGCATAGTCTGAATTGTGGTGAATATTACATTAAAAATGTGTTTCAAAAATAGAAATCTCATGCAAATGCCATTAAAACCAATGAAAACTCCAATTTAAGGTACATTTAGGATATGAATTCATGCCTTTGAGAACTACAGGCAGCGGTAAATGGGTTAAGCCATTCACTATGATGTACTGTACAGTACAGTACAATACAGTAATTCAATTAATGATTTACATGCTATTCAATGAATAAATATCTTATCATGTTTGAAGTCATGCTATAAGACATAGGATTGAGAGTCTGGGATCTAAACATTAGCAAACGTGCAACCAATCAGTCATTCACTCGGAAACCGCTTTAATGATCGCAATGTCACTCAAGTCTACCTGTCTTTTCACTAAAAGTAACGACTGGTCTCTGAGTCTGTGTTTGAGGCACTTGTCTTTGAGTTTGAATATCAATACGAGTTTGAGTTTGAGGTATGAAATCATCCAAAGAAGAGAATATATCATTGAAATCCGCTTCGGGTGTCAGCTCTTTGATTGGCTCCGGAGCTGACGATTACAATGAGTTTAGTTCAGGTCATCACAACATTTAATGTTTTCATTTTATCAAGTTTTTTGTCAGGTTTCAACTTTTCAAGGAAAGGCATTTTGTTTAGCAAATTAATTATATAATAGATTACCGCTTATATAGAGTGAACTCATGTCCGGCAGGTCTACAGAAACGGCTTTCTTTACTTCTGCCACTGAATTGATTAACTAATTGACACAAAATATGATTACTATTTAGTAACCACTCATTTGGTATTAAATGAATGAATCTCTTAATCTTACGGCTCTATTAGAATCCCTCCAACGAGATATGGCTTTGGGATCAGATATATTAATGGCCACATTCTTGGCGTCCTGAACCATAACGGGAACGGCTGAATGGAAAGGATATGTTACGTGTTATGGCATAATGTCTAACATGTACGACAAGAATATCTAAATCTATGACTGACTGGATTGCAACTCATCGGCTGCTCTGTTGACTCGACTGATGAAATTGGGGTCTTCAGAGTTGTCGGACTCCTGTTTGGCGACCATCAGAACCCGATTGGCCAGACGTGCAATATTAGAGGTGTTGTCAACCATACTCTGTTGCTGTCGGTTCACAATCGCATTCTCACACAAAGCCGTGTATTTTAATATCGAGTCCTCTGAACACAATAAACAATACTTTAATCAAATAATACAAATTAAACAAATCATTAAATACCAGACGCTTTAATAAAGCTAACGGTGTCGACCGCCTCGTCCACCATATTCCTCATGTTCTGAATGGTGTCTGAGTATTGTTTTCTAAGATTCTCGAAGTGCTCATCGGCTGCCTTATTGTCGGGATGAGTGAGTCTGATTCGTCCGGCGCTGACCAACTGAGGGGTCAAACTCTCGATATGATTGGCAGATGTCATCAGCCCTTCGGCCAGTCGTTTATTGGGAGCACTGCCTGAGGCTACGTTTCGTGCCGTTTGTGCCGCTCGTTGTGAGAAGTTTGACAAATTGATGGCTTTGTCCTGGAAGTTGGCCTCTCTATTAGGCGTACCTTCCGGTGCTAATACAGCTTCGGTGAACTGCTTAAGAGGTGTTGTTATGTCTATGAAATCTTCGACCACTCGCGTGACTAAAGCCTTTTCTATTTGCTTCTTCAGCTCTTGGAGTTTGTTCGACAAGTTCTTAGCGATGGCGAGGGCTTGTGGTGTACTTCCCTGTCCGCGACGGCACAAGTCGTTCAATTGGCGACTCAATGACTCGACTTCATTACAGAGCCCTAAGATGTCCTGTCTCTGAGCGGGCAGACAGAACTGGGCTAACCTCCTGCCCTCGTCCACTATCGCTTGAATTGCTTGAGACCCTAATCCTTTGTCATCAAACCCTGGGTTACCCAACCATTTGAGCGCCTGTTCCACTCGACCAGAAACAGTGTGCGCCGGCTGTTGAACACCACTTCGCTCCACGTTCTGAATGGCACGTCCGACCAATGCATTCAACTCTTTAAGCTTCAGATCGATACCTCTGGCGAGTGACTGGGCCTGAGGGGTGCCTCCTTTGCCCTCAGATCTCAATTCACACAAAGCATTAGTGGTAGCAGTGATGTCGCCCACCATTTTCCTAATGGCATCGCGGTCAGGGGGAAGGGCTCTTTCGGCCACCTTTAATGCATAATCCAATATTGAGCGCACAGACTTCTCTCCCACCCCTCCGACAACAGCCGTGGGATCTTCGAGCCAGTCGTGAGCCGTTCGTAGTTTTCCGAGGATTGCGTTCTGAAGATATTACACAAACGAGTCAATACATGTCAATACATGTCAATTGAGTCATATATACAGTACCTGAGCCTTCTTCATGCCCGTCAGGTTGTCGGCCTCCCACTCGTCCTCATCATAAGTGGTCAGTTGTAACACCCGAACGATTTCGTTGATCTCATCAGTCATTCTTTGAGTCAAATAATTCCTGTTTTCTGCGGCCTCTTCTGTCTTCTTACCTAAAAATATTCAATTCATTAATAGATTTAAGTCATGTGTCATGAAAATGGTGTTCTCACAGACCCTGTGCTAACAATTGGACAGATATTTTCATGGCACAGATGAGAACAGGTGCTAATGTTTTGACCGAATCTAATGAGCGAATCAAGATCTCCCGGTGCACCTGATGTGTCAACTCTTTCTCTCTGTTGTCCACATCGCGCGACACTTTTGTTAAACTCGGACTCAAATCCTATGAAAACATGTGATTGTAATCATTGAAGACAATTAAAGTATTAAAACAATACTTTCACGAATTGGACCAAATCTTCCATCGTTTCAATCACTTCCGCGACCGCCAAATAGTCCAACACTTTCTTACACTCTCTGATGATTTTCCTCACTTCCGACTCATCGAAACATAACAACAAAGAAGAAGTTCCCTGAAGTATGCCTTTAAATAAATGAAGACATGAAGACAAATGCTATTTATTTGTTAAATCAAATCTAATATTTCAAACCTCTGGCGCCTTCGATGAGCTTTTTTCTGGCGGGTTGTGAATAGGGGTCTGATTTAAGGAGAGCCGACGCCTCCTCCAGCAGTTTGGCCGCCCGTTCCACTCGTTGAAGGGCTGCCGGCATATCCTGTCGGAGGATATTATCATCGCTGCTGTTGATGGTCTCTTTGCCCACTTTCACTAAGTTAGTCACAGCCCTACTGACCGCCTGAACCGGCTTTTCCAGGTCTGGCATTGCGTTCCCATCTTCGGCCTCCTCGTGAAGAATCACTAATCGAGAGACCTATTCGTCCATACATTCAATCATTTGTTTAATCCACGGATTTTATATACAATTCAAACGATTACTTCATTATTATATTATAGGATATAGTGAACACTTAGAATTGCGTGACAAAAGCGAATAAAATTAGCATGCTCATTTTTGAATCCATGACAAACTATGAATAGTTAATAAGATTTAGAGTAATGTATGAAAACTGAATTTATGATATAATAAAACAATTAGAAGTGAATGAATTGGTTAATAATTAGGAAAGGGATGAAAGGGATGAAAGTGAAGGTAAAGAGACGGCAAGTAATATGAGAGGACAGACAGACCTGTTGGGCCACCGGTTCTAATATACTTTCAATAGTCTTGGTGTGAAAGGCAGGCATTTCTTGATTATTATTGCTTTAAAACATTGATTAAACACAAAATTTAATGATTTAATGATTTGTTGAATCAAATGAATGCAAATTATGGACACATTGTTAGTGTTGTTCACTATTTGTTGTATTTCTGTATATATTGTATGAATGTATGGATTCCTATGGAAGCACTGAATGACAAGTTTTGCCTCAAATGGCATTCAAGGCGTTCTCTCTTTCATTCCTCTGACGTAACGTCACATCACTTGAGGCCTGTCTTCAGGAGACCACACAATCCGATCTTAAGCTGTCTTACAGTCATATAACAAACATATTATTCATTTGTTATTTGTTTTTCACTTATCATTTAATTACGAATTTTTATTTATTTATTATTCTGTATAACAAATACTTTGTATTCAATTTGTCTGCAAATGAAGGAAAACTTTTTAAACTACTTCTCCTCCTATACCTCCCATTCGTTTCAACTATCTTTGTCACAAAAAATTGTTTTCATACAGAAATCAAAATTTATTTTTATACTAATTATAGTTACACAACACTTTGTCAACAATTTGTTTAAAATTATATGCTTTTGCAAAGAATTTTTGTTTATAAACCTTATTTTTTAATCAATTCTTGTTTTTATAAAAATATTTATATTTCAATTTGTGTTATTATTACACAACCTGATGTAATTTCTACTGAAATCAGTCCTTTTAGAGTAGTTTTCTAAGCAATTCGCTAAATATTTTAATCTTAAGTCAACTTTTGGTTTTATAAGTTATACTGTGGAATGTTTTGAAGCTTTTATATTAGAAAAGTTTAATAGAGTGTTTTGTCTGAATAAACTTGTTGCTTTTATAACGATTACTTAATAGTCTACTTTACAATACAAATTCTATACTCTACTAAATTATTTGATGAATACAACCATTGTATGTAATTTGGGTGCATTGTATTGAATGGAAAAAGTGTGATAAAGTTGTATCTGAAGTAGCGATCAGTTGCTGTGAGAACAGTATACGAGTGGAAGGGATAGAGAATGTGTGCTAAGAATATATAGAGCAGTGGAGAGTGTGTCAGACTGTGAGTCCAATTATGGTGTCGGGCGTGTATGTGTGGGTCTGTAGGTCTGAGCGGTCTGTACACGCAATCTCAATGGATGTGCTGATAATTAGATCCCATACCTAACTTGGATTTTAGATAAAAGTTTGTTTGTTAAGTCGACGCCTACGTTGTCATCAGTTCCGGAACAACTGAACCCAACATTTGTTTTCACTAAACGAGAGCCAAGTTTTCGATTCAATGCTTACTTTCATTTGAGAAGCGATTCTGCAATGGATTGAAGCAAACCATTCATTCGTTAGACGATAAATAAGTTATATTTTCTTAATTTGGCGTCACTTTTATCATTGGAAACAATAATTTTAATTCATTTTAAATTCAAATCGTATGATAGACTTGTAATGTGTCTTAAATAACAAAATTTATCTCTAGATACTTCGTCTGTACTGTAAATATGTTTAAACAATGTATTTATGATTCTTATATGCAATGAAACAATGATTTCATAAATGAAAATATACACGAATTTGATTGAAAATTTGCGATAAAATACAGTATAAGTAAAATATTTGGTATAAATAACTAATGCCGAGAATTGCTGTCTTCGCTGACACCATATTGTCTATCGGTTGCCGTCGACTGCAATACAAACAAATAATGATTAGTTAAAGCAAACAATTAGCTCATAAGGGAAGTCATGTCCGACCAGTTTGTATTTGACTCGTTTGGGCAGTTCTTCAGTGGTTGTATAGAAGTCCTCTCTCCTGACTTTGATCTGCGAGCCGTCATCGAACACAATGGCATACATGAGAGACGTGTGACTACCCGTGTATTTGCCGTGCAATTGCTCCTTATTCCAGATCACTTCGACCGCATCCCCAATGTCTGGCGGGTCTCTCTCGCAGTCCCGGTTCTGGCAATCAATTAATGCATTGTTAGTGCCATCAGATCAGTGAAGAGGTGAGCAAACAATAAATACCAAAATATCGCAACTCTTGAGTTGTTTAGTGAATGAGTTGTCGACAAAGTGGACATGGTGGAAAGTCTGCTCCAACCTGTCCACCACTTTCGCTCTATAGAACCGCTTGTTCTTGTGTTTAGCGATCACCGTCTCATTGGTCTCAACTTCAGACAACACTCTATCAGATACTTGTTTTTTGTTACTTTGGGCAACATTTGAACACTTCTTGCAGGCAATGGTGATGGGTTCGGGCCAATCACCCGCTGCGTACACCACTCCATGCCTGTGCCCACACGTCACGTGAAACGACGCAAAACACTTGCATTGAACACAATAACCGGCGAAATAGTCGACCATTTTATTGTCGGGATTGGATTTTCGACAATAAATACAACCCTTGAGTTAAGAAATAATATAATAAGCATATTATAGCATATCATAAACCAAACCAATCCGTACATTGAATACCATTTTGTCAGTTCTTCGCGAAGGTTTCACTTCAGACAAATCGATTGGCTTTTTGTCGATTCCGTTCACAAACTTCACGTCCGGTATGAGAAGAGCACAGGAGATGTGCACCCATTGCTTGTCACCGCTTTCGTCCATCTCTGTCGTCTCCTTCAGTGGACCACCTCTTAGTGGACAGAGACTGCAAAATGCAAAATACTGTCTGTTGGCACACCTGTCACACCTCCAGTTCCGTTCCGATCCATCGAATAACAGATTTGAAACGCCATAACACACTAAATGTATATCAAATGCAAATTATAAGCATATATCATAAAACTGCTTAAAAGCATCCATACCTGAGTGAACACATACTCTGCAGTCCATGCAGACAATCAAAGGTGAGGTATCTCTGGAGTCAAGGAGAGTGTTCTCGTCCTTGACTTTGGAAGTGAATGCAACGCTTGGAATGAGGATTGGACTCGACTTTGGCGGAGACCACGACTCCAACTCCGATAAGCGGACACTTGGCATGAGTTGGTAAGGCTTGAGTAGATTGCAAACGGCGCAGTGGGCGCCTATGGTTGACATACAGGTGTTGAACCAAATCTCGTCTGAGAAACCCTGGGGAGACGGACCACAACTTAATGGTGTGTATTGTAATGTCTTCTTTGTGATCTCTTCTAAAACCGTCAAATTCTGAGGCAAATAGTAATTAAAATAATTTATATTTAGTATATATTGGTATATATTTAGCAATAGTTATATATTGCTGCCATCAATAAAGTATTCTTTCATCAAATTTACCGGATATTAGCCATATTTACATCAAATAGTCTGATAGAGTATATGAAATAATTAACAAATAGACGATTCAAGGAAAGGAAAGTGCATTTGTTCATCAGATTAGACCACAATGTCGTGGCCATAGTTCTGGAGTGACCACAACTCATACATTCTACCATTCTATCCAAGATACCATTCTTTAACACTTAACAGTATTTTTCTTTCTGGAGTCATATTTGTCTTTTGGTTCAATATTTAAAAATATTCTTAAATATATTCTTTAGAATACTAATTATGTTCCCTGGTCCATATTAGTATTACAATATTTGATTCAGTTTAGTTAAATAAATAGCTAACCAAAGGAGTGTCTGTAGAGCATACTGTTCCCAAATTGGCTCATAAACTTTGTAACATTAGAAAGTGAGTGAAAGTTTTACAGTTCACATTATTTTCATTTCAAATCATAAGTTACTGTATTTCAATACTGACAAAATGTGTTCATATAAAAACCACAACCTTATAACTACACGAATGAAACCCATGGAGTCCATAGGTTTTGCATATCTTAGAAACTTAAAAATTCATATCTGTTTTTCATAGTTTGTTAAAAAGTTGCTTTTCTAATGTTCAAAGTTTTAATATTAACAGGTGATCATAAAAACAAGACAAATTATAATGCTGTTTGTGACTATAAAATACTTTATCTACTAATAATCTATGGTATTATAAAATTATCAATTGTCTGTATAAATTCAAATTATTTAAGGCGCCAGCATGCTGTAGATATGACAATATGTATCACTCAGTTTATATAAAAACTTATGGTATCTCTAAAACTTTTTGCTTCAAGTAAAGATAGCTATAATACAAGATTTAGTCGAAAGTAACCAATTCATGAATACATATTTATATTTAATAAACTCATGTAATTGTCATCAATAGTAATGGTTTGATGACCTAAAGTGACTAAATAGGAGCAACAATTGAAATGAGAAAAAGGGCTAACCTTTGGGACAATATGTGGCAGATCTGCTCGAAATTGGTTCGAATAAGTCTTATTAGGAAATAATTTATGAAATGATTGACAAAAGTATGGTTTGATAAACGAATCTTTAATATATGTATATATTATATAATAATCAAGTTCTAATATATTATAAGTTTTATAAACAATTTTCAGAAACAATAAGTTATTAATAGGTATTATATTTAACAATAAAATCAAAACTAAAGCTTATTTGAAGACAATTTGAGCGCAAAATTTGTCACATTTTGTCAAATGAAAAACGATAACAAATAATACATTCATTCGTTTGAACGATGATTGATATTAAATAATAATTAGGAATCAGTTCTTAATAATTTTAATCAATTTAAATACTCTCACACTTACGTTATTTGCACCGTTAGGATGCACTGAAGGGCTCAACGAATCACTTAAGCTGTTGACAACGTCGAGGTCGTCGGTCGAAGTGCTCGCCTCAACCATTACTCTCAAACTATTGCTCAATCCATTGACACTCTCATCCTTTGTGTCAATCATAATGTCATTCATATTATGGCCAAAAGGCTGTCCCAACTCATGAGCTGTAAGTAGAGGTGGCTGTGAAGAGAGGTTTATATTGTCAGCAGAATATTCATAGTATGGTATGATATGCGGCGGTTGCGATACCATTGGTCTCATCACGTATTGCTCTTCCGATTCATTCATTTGGTTGGCTTTCAGTTCACTATTTAATGGATTCTCGAGGACTGGACTAAACATGCAATCAGTGTTGAGAGAGGACTGCGAATGGGGTGTCGACTGAGTGGATGTTGACGAACAGTTAGCACTCAGAAAGTGAGTTGAGTGGGGGCTTGAGGTATGGTTTACTTCTTGCGATTTAATCAATTCCATGTCTGAAATGTTGGAGTCGTTGAGTGAAAAGTGTGCGAAATATTCACAACTAGTTTGAGAGTTTGGTTGAGTGCAGGACGAGACACGAGACTTCTGGTCATTGAGTTTTGCATACGAATGGTTCAGAAGGTGCGGCGGAACTGACGACTCATTTGCTCTCTTTTTGCGTTTCTTTTCCTTTTGCTTATCCGAAGAAGAGTTGAGATTCTGATGCAATCGATGAATGGTTTCGGAAATAGTCGGCGGTTTAGGCATCGAAGAGATGGTGTCTGCACTGATCGATGATATACTCGGCGCTGATATTAAACCATTCATGAGATCTGATTCATCGGAATTCTCGAACATCTTTCGGGCGGCTTTTGTCGGAGGAGTCCATTGAGGCCCACATTCATCGTCACAATCATCACTATTATACTCTTCAGTATCAGAGGAGAAGTCCTTTTTGTGCGGCGGATGGCGTTTGTGTTTATTACTACACATTAACAATACATATACTGTTATACAGTAATCAACATTTACAGTCAATTCTAAGTAACTTACAATTTGGACATAATATCCCTTTCGTAATGGGAGGGCGCGGGTGCGGCGCATACATGACTCGGATCTTTAGGGTCGGGTCCGATGTCCTTCCCGTGCAGCCACATGTCATACCTGTCCGGCTGGAACTTCCTCACGAATGCTTCCATATTGATCTGAACCGAATCCGATCGGCAGAGACACTGTATTGAGACAAACAGATAATGAGATGCAATGATAGTAACTCGTGAATAGTCGGAGCCCTACCCGTACGGCGCGTTTGCCAAACTCGACCCAACGCGGGAGTGCAAAGTTGGTGGACTCGGCGCAGTTGTATCCATGGTTATATCCCGCGTGATATGAATAGGGAAACGTAATCATAAACTCTCCCTCCTCTTGAGTAATCTTACTGAATGGTATCGAATACTTCTTCAGCACTTGAGGCGAGATTAGAGTCATTTTGTGGCGAAGAAATGCCGGACACTGTTTGCAACTGTTGGGGAAGAATCCTATCATACAATTGAGACATCATTACTGATAAGTGGTTCACAATTCAAGTCTGTTATCTGCAAAATAGACAAACCATTGGCCAGTCGTTCGAGTCGTTTGCCGTGTTCTGGAGGTATGCAATACCAGGACTTGGGAGCACCGAAATGGAGATAATTGATGGAATACAGGTCCATATCCTCCGTATGCCACGCGAACGTGGACTTCCACATCCCGAAGTAGAGGTAAGCCGTGTTCACACCCATTATCTTAATGCCATAACTTTCGTTAATCATATCGAGACAAGTGTTCAGATTATTTATGTTGAACTCTTCGCAGTCCTCGTCAGTGAGAGTTCCGGAAACGTCGGCGCCATATATAGCCGGACAAAAGGTGACATTCTTCCAGTACTTGCGCTCCAAGTCTTCGTAATCGAAATACGTTGGGGTCTTGTATTTGGCAGAAGTGGCCATTTTTGCGAAGTCCTTGATGTGCATCGCCTTCTTCTGGATGTTGTACTGCTGGTAGAGTCCCTGTCCTCCCTGTACGACCTGCTGTATCGGCGCCTTTATCGTCAAATCGATGTCATCGTAACCATTCTTCCGGGGCTTCCATTCCGGCGGAGGAATGATCTGAACATAGCATCCAAACCATTAGTACTGCTATTCATGTCATGGAGACAGTCGAGTGATGCCTACCTTTGCGAGACCTGCTTTGTAGGCGCCCTGACTCTCCATATACTCGAGGTATTTGGAGAAGTCCTTCATCTCATCGATCTTCGGCCTGAAGACCATAATTCTCGGGGCATTCGTAGAGCTGTTGTCCGTTAACCCCATCGCTCCTAATGTGTGACAATCACTGCAAATACAAGCGACTAATTGTGCACTAATTCACCCAAAATGCAACCAATAGTGACACCACTGTCTGTTTGGACTCAACACTCATCAGTGAATGCATTACTCGTATGACCTGTGGATCAGTTCAATGTCTTTCGGGTCACTCCTAATGACAACAACTCAAACACCACTCGTATATGACTCGCAATCTATGCGGCAGTGATTGCACTCGCAGTGAGTCGACTGTCCACTCACTCAGAGACGATATGGTAGTGAATGGATGGCTACTCGAGAGCGAGTGACCACTTCGTGGGCATACAGTCCTCGACAACAAAAGGTGTCACGACAGCCATATCAGCCATTTTGGGATACAATAGTCGCACAAACATATGAGTCGTACAGCCAATGGAGTCTCACTGTCTCTCTCTCACACTCACTCACTCACGTACGCCATGAGACACAACAACACTCAATCACAACAAAGCGTAACGCTGTATGTGAGCGACACTCCACTCACCCTAACTGTAACTATGTTTACGAACGTGTAGTGAACGGCACTTCCTTTTCCTTTTCGTCTCATTAATGGTCTGTTCGTCACGTTTTTGATCATTGATTATATGCACGGATAGGACGGTATGGCCGACCAGGTATGTCACCACTCACTGCCTTCACCACCAATTCATATCTCACTCCAATGTGTGTCATATGCGACAGAATGAGAGGGCGTTTCAGAAGCAGCCGACAATCAATTTGAACCGAAAGCCAGTGATTGGTAAACAGAAAGTCCGCAAAAGTGTGCGATATGTCCGCAATGTTGGCCTCGGATTCAAGACTCCCCGCGACGTAAGTGTCCACCAAATTCACATCTCCTCTCACCTAATCTTATCTCCATATCTGGACAGGCACTGGAGGGCACGTACATCGACAAGAAGTGTCCGTTCACTGGCAACGTTGCCATTAGAGGTCGTATTCTGCGAGGAGTTGTGGTGAAGATGAAGATGCAGAGGACTATTGTTATCCGCAGAGACTATCTTCACTACATCCGCAAATACAACCGCTTCGAGAAACGACATCGCAATATGTCTGTCCATTTGTCGCCCTGTTTTAGGTATGCATAGCCTGTCCTCCACCCTATCTCCTGAGCAGTGATTGAAGTGATGATAAACACGACGGTCTGCTGAGACATAGATATATACCGCTGAGGAGTCTTCGTATTATCTGATTATTCTTATAATTTGTTTGTTTTGTAAATGATTTGAAAAATACTGGAAATGTAATAAAATGTATGCTTTTGTATGACTGGTGTGTAGGGACGTAGCACCGGGCGATTCGGTGACAGTTGGCGAGTGTCGACCCCTCAGTAAGACTGTGCGCTTCAATGTGTTGAAAGTGACCAAATCTGCTGGCGCTAAGAAGTCTTTCCAAAAATTTTGATGAATTAAATGTTTTGAAAATAAATTAAAAGTTTTGATTAAATAAATGATGGCTTGTATTGATTAGTTGTGTGGACGGCAGGGGTCGTGGGTGTGCTGTGGGGGCGGCAGTAGTGATGCAATGGGTGTTGATGTGTGACGTAATTGTTGTGATGTGTTGTTTGCCACGTATTCATGAGCCCACTGTACACCACTGTACAGTTGTATTATATAATAGTGTACAGTATTATAGTTATAGTGACTGTATGTGTGTTTGACATTTTGTCACATCAACACACTCTGACACTCGGCTATACCACGCACTGTGGACCCTCACACGAGTGCCGTCACATCGGTGTCCATATAGTAGTCGTAATAGTGTTGAAGTGGTGGTCAGTCGTGTCCCGTACGGTCAGTGGGAGTGTTGGCGATGTGTGGGTCAGACATACCTAACCGTAAGTCAAAGCGTGTGAACAGTGTTTAGTCTATAGACAGATCTATGATAGGCTTATGTGTTATATTAGCGCAACAGCTGTTATAATAACTTCCTGTCATTTAATAATTCAATTATTATTACTATTATTACTATTTATATAACAACTAATTAAAGCGATATTTCACTAATCAGTTGCTGACATAACATTTCCACTCATTATAACAGCTTTTGTTTCATACAATTCATTTGTTTCACTTGTGCTCTGCTCTGCATTTAAGCCTATCTCTCATTACATGCAAATCATATCAAATCAAATGAAATGTGTTTTAATTGAGGAAATCATGTCTCGCAAAGTGTTGAATCCATTTGTTGAACACATTTTGTTATTCAAGTCTTTGAAGTCAAGTATTTGTTTTGATTGACTTCACAGTCACTGACAGCTCACTCAGTATTACAGTTAGTGTTAGTATTAGAGTTACACTCAGACTATAGACTATCACTGAACTGATAACTGATTAATCAATGATTACTGCAATTGCTATGACCGTTAGTGTGAAGTGATACTCGTTTGTTATTGTGATTACAATGACTGTTGTCATGAATGGTGTACTAATAGATGCAATGCTATCACACTGACAGGAGTGACACAAGACATCATTAGAAGACAATCCATTGAATCCATTGAATGCGTTGATTAGACGAGCATTTGTGAACCAATTTCACCCAAATCTGCGCCAATGTTGAACTCGACAGCGTCTCCACTGTCAGGCCTGTCAGCCCTGTCAGGACCGCCTTATTTCGTCGATTTACATGTAAATCCGGGTAATGTTTCCGCTTTGGCCTCATTTCACTGCCACTACTCCTTGGCTGGCATTCATCTAATCGTTCAATCGTTTCATTATTAGGCGAATCCGTTTCAATACAACTATTCGACGGCAATGAGACTATACTCCGCGGTCCGGCCACTATCACCATGATATCTCAACATACATTCCCTCCCATCCCTATGCCTGTCCAGGTATGACCATCACTACTACACTTATATCTATAAGTTTATAGTACTATCTATAAGTTTATAGTACTATCTATAAGTTTATAGTACTTCTCACTTGATGACAATTAGTATTATAATTGACACCTTGCACCTTGCTATACACCATGTAGTTTGAACACAATTAGCAATGTACTCTATATTCTAGAATATGTTTATAGTATTAATAGTGATTTAGATAACTAGACAATTACAACATTATAGTGAACTCATTGTATGATTGTATGTGAATCTAATGGTTTGCCTTTGGGTGGTATGACAGGTACCGCCGGGACATATGATCCAACAGATAGTTGACGAGAACGGCCAACTCCGACAGATCATACTGTCCGCTCACCCCAATGGCAACACCAACCCATCAAACGCTGCTCTTATGCCACAACAGCAGCAACAACAACAGCAACCCTTTCCCTACTGCTGCTGTTGTAGCTATAGTTGTATGGGATCGGCACAGACAGCACCAGTACCTCCACCGCTGCCACCGCCCCCTCCGCCTCAGCTGAGGCACAACATCCTAGCGTTTCCAACGCCACAAACTCGTCGCCGAATCAATCCAATGAACCGTACGTTTTCTCCGGCGGGTAAGCGTACGGCTCCGACCTATTTGAACAACAACTCTATAGGAAAGTCTCCCATTCGGCACAAATTGGGCTCAACAGCCGGTGCTTCAGTTGACGGCGTTTCCAAAGTGTCGTTCTCTAACACCAAACACACGACTCCTTCTGATAGCAAACCGTATGAACTGAACAGCAATCGAGTGCTCGTCGGAAGAGTGACTCCCGCAGAGAACGACTGCCTTTCCCTCTCTGACCCGAAACATGTTCTCAATAAATCCTTTGACACAATTAACAAAGAAGTGATGGATTGCGGAATCAATAGCAAAGAACTTATCGAAAGCAATGGTTCGGTTGTATCAGCGCCACGACCTGCCCCTCCATTCTCCTATACAAGTCTGGAAGAGCACAAACAGTTGAACCATTCGATCGACTCAACCAATTGTTCTCATTTTGAATCTTCAGAAAAGCCTTCAATCCTTTTGGAAATAAATCTCTCTTCCAATGATTCCAGAGTTCAGAACAACATTAGTGCGGATATTGTCGAAGAAGTCGATGAAGAAGAAGACGATGAATTAGAGGAATGCGACCAATCGTCCAACGAATGTGAAAATGAGTTGAAAAATAGCGAAAATAGTTTAACGAACAATAAGAATGAGGAGCAGATGGTGGAGCCGTCGCCAACCATTGAACAACTGTCGTCTCAAACACACGAAGAATCTCTTATTAGCGCCGAATTGGAAGACAAGTCTAATGAGAATTTGTCTGAAGATAGCGATCAAACGATTGACAAAAACTCTAATGAATTTAGGAATACTCTGAATGACATTCAATCGATGAACTCTTGCATATCGTATGTAATGCAAGACAATCCCAATGAAGAGATGATTAAGATTGAGACAACGGAACCCTCTCTGAGTCGCTGTCAATCGCTGGCCAATCACTTCCATACGGACACAATCTATAGTATTAATCAAACCGAATGCCAATTAAACAAAACCGAAGACATCGGTGTCGTCGAGGAAATGGATTATTCCATTGAGTCTTCGGATGAGAATCAGACAAAAGAAAGTATTAATAGTTTAACGAAATTAAGTGATGACGAGAACGAGGAAATGAACGCCAAAAATACGTTAGCGTCGGAAGGGGTGCCGGTGTTGCAGAGGTCTCCCAAGCATTTACTGCCTCAGCTCGAGCTCCTAAATCTCACCTATACTTCATTGACTGCCAACACCGTTAAGTTAAAGTGGGCGCACTCGGAGCCCCAACCCTCAGGCGAGAACCTGTACGCCAAACACTATGTGGTCGAGATGTTGCTGAACAAGTGCAGCAATGGTGGCACCGGTGAGTCAGGACAGGTGGGCGGTGGCACGGGTGGGTCCGGGTCGGGGCCCAACAGTCGGATCGTATATCAGGGCCACTGTGCGAACTGTCGCGTATCGCACCTGTCGTCTCAACAACAGTATTCGTTTCGAGTCCGCACAACAAGTGAAGAGCATCTGGTGGTGAGTAATGTGCTGACGATCACCACTCCCGAACAGCAGCCAATCAACAACAAGTACGGCAAGAAGAGTCGTCGCGAACTACTTCAGCAACAGATCCAACAACAACAACATCAGATCCATCAGCAGCAGCTGCTTCTCCAACAGCAACAACTGCAACAACAGTCGCAGACGCGGGTCACCGATAAGACCGAGCCCACCATCAGCTCTGACCAGAGGTGTGCAATACTTCTCCTTTTGCTGTTCACTCTTTTCGCTCTTATTGTCGCGGTTCTCATCCAACAATTATTGTCTGATAACTGATAACTGATAACCGATTAATCAAATCTAAATCTAATTCTTAATACAAATCATGTTTTATTCGGATTTACAGAATATTTATTCAAAATTTTATGAATTCTTATATTTTTGTGAAAAAGTAAATATAAAAAATATAAATATATATTAAATATAAATTATATTATTGTTGTGCTGTAACTGCAATATTCTGTTTATATAAAATGCTATGTTTTTTAATTGTCCTATTTTTTAATTATATATTATAATTATTACTTTTTATTATTATTAATATTATTCATGCTTTTTATGTTTCAAATAATTGACAAATCGTTATAAAAATTTTTAGTTCATTTATAATCAATTGATTTTTTACTGATTTAATTTTTTAAATAATTTATTTATTTGTTTTTTAATTTATTTAATTAATATTTTAAATTCAATTTATAATTCAATTATTTACTGTTAATTACAATCAAATATATCAATGCATTAGAAGAAAAGCATTCATTCTTTCAATTTCTTACATTTATTTCTAAATAACTGAGATTCACATCAGAATCACATTTATTACATCTAAACCCATATCACTGGTCATGAGAATAGAGTGACCATCAGATTCATGACCACATCAACATTGTCTAGAATTTTAGTTTAATTGGGCGAACAGGGGGGAGGGGGCAACCTTTCTTTTGTTAGATACTCCCATAAAATGACTTATTCCACAAAACCTAACCCCCACTCACTTTATTCATTAGGGATTGAATAAGGTGGGTTTAAGTACCATGACACTATTTGATAATATTATGTTATAAGATTAATCGTACCATTGAGAAAGCTGTGGTCAACTTACGACAGAGTAAAGTAGGCATACTTAAGGGACGACTTAACACAGTATTTACAGTTTAGCTCTAATAAGATTGGCTTATTTTATTATAACTTACAAGTCAATATTATTATAAATATATGATACAGTAATATACATGCTATATATACAGCACTGTACAGCTTTTTTACGCTTAATTGACTGGAAATTCTAAATGTAAGTCATGTATGCAAACAACAACTGATTTCATTATAGTAAGAGTTGCTATACTGTACTGTACTTATGGACCGGAATTGCTCTGCAATTGGCACTCGTAACTGGAATTTAGTATTAATATTGCGATTTGTATCCATATGGAATATCCTAGGTAAACTATCTAAACTATTCTTACCATACTTAGCACTTACATCAGACTTAAATAAATAAGCATATAAATAATATTTTAAATTGTAAGGATTTAAACAAATTATCTTACAATTAAACAAATTACTTACAAAATAAAATATCTGTTTTATGGATTTAAAATTTTCAGTATACGTAATATTTAATATTACCAAGATATACAAAGATATACCAAGATGTACTGTAGACAAATCTAAATGTATGAACTACAGTATATTCTAATTTTTATGAAACTTTTCTTTATAATAAATATTTATAAGCAAACATTTTAGATTTAATTAAATAAGTATAATAAAAACCTACAAAATATATGCCAAATAATGTATTATAATAAATACTGTTAGATACTGTCAGGTTTAGATGTTATCATATGTTTAATTCAGGCAATTGTCACATAAAATTATATAAAAACAATTGAAATTAACTTAAGGCATATGATAAATGTCACGCATTGAATATTTTTCATAATACAATATCAACACTTAGTTATTATATTTTATTTAAATTAATTAATTATCCAGTAAATATAATATTAACGGAATTCCTATTTTCAAGGATATAATTATTTATATTCAATTAACTTATTTCAATTTTTATTTTACATTTTTCATTTTTATATTATACTTTGTACTAAAATATATTTCTAATTATTATTCTATAATTTAATGAGTATAATTTATTATACATTATAGATCCAATGTCATTTCGGTTCCATGATTCATATAAGGGACACTTTCATTTAAAGTTTTATATTAATTTAAGGATTATATAGAACTGTTAATTCTATAATTTAATGAGTATAATTTATTATACATTATAGATCCAATGTCATTTCGGTTCCATGATTCATATAAGGGACACTTTCATTTAAAGTTTTATATTAATTTAAGGATTATATAGAACTGTTAAAAATGTGTAGACATCTGTAAAGATTTTTTTAACAATGTAGAATCTAAATTATAGATACTTTTATTAATGAAGAATTTAGAGAATATTCTATGCCGTGTATTTTTGTGAATTTATAATTTAGCGGTTATAAATATTGATTAGATTTTATAAATATTTTTTATTTATAATAGACCCAAAATTTGTATTTAAACAATTTTGTGATTATTTTCGATTTATTTGAGTTTTCTTTGCAATTAAGGTTACAATAATTTCAAATGATATTTATATTAAACAAAGCACCTATTAATTTACCATAAATAACCTATTTTGACAAATAATTTTTAATTAGTTCAGTTTATTAATTTTTAAAAATACTGCAATTTTATAGATTAAAGCTTTGGACAAACGTTATATATTAAACAAAGCACCTATTAATTTACCATAAATAACCTATTTTGACAAATAATTTTTAATTAGTTCAGTTTATTAATTTTTAAAAATACTGCAATTTTATAGATTAAAGCTTTGGACAAACGTTAATACTAATAGTTTATAAAATGTTAACTAAATATAATATAAATGTTTAACATATAGACAATTGATAATTGCACTCAAATTGAACACATTTTCTATTGAATTGATTGAATATTAGGTCTCAATCGCGCTCTAACTCTAAATGGATAGGAAGGGCACGACCCAACTCATCGGCAATATTCCGATTACAGGCGCCTAATACTCTTCGGCTCATTATATCCAGGGGTCCGCCCTTTGTGTCCATCACAACACCGCCCGCTTCTGTCAATATAAGACTGCCGGCCGCCATATCCCACACGTGAAGACCGAACTCCCAGTAGGCGTCGGCCGAGCCATCGGCGACACAACACAAGTTGAGAGCCGCAGAACCCACACACCGGACGCTGTGACTGAGCCAACCCACGGCCTCGAGGTTACGGAACACAGCGTTTCGTTTCTCTTCGTCCCTTTGATTCCCGAATTCACACAACAGAAGCGCTTCGTTCAGGGATTTACAGCTTTTATGTACAGATAAGGGCTGTCCGTTACAATAGGCGCCCCAACCCTTGCGGGCCGTATATAGCTTCGACAGGAAGGGACTGTACACCACTCCCACCACCGGAACCTTATTAACTGTCAGACCTATGGATACACATGTGAAGGGAAAGGTATGAACAAAATTCATGGTCCCATCGATGGGGTCTACAATCCAAGTCGGGTCTACCGTCAGCCCCACCCCAGCGCTGGTCTCTTCGCCAATGAACCGGAAGTCTGGAAACTGACGCTTCAATTCTGTAAACAAAAACTTTTCGATCGCTTTATCTGTTTCTGTCACCAAATCGGCGAACGAATCCTTTTCAGAGATCTCTTTATTACGTCCGGAGGCAGACTTCATCATAAGGCCCGCCTCGAAGGCCAGACTCACAGCTATGCGCTCACATCGCAACAACTCCTGGCCATCCATTCCTCCACTTCACCCTTCACTTCACCATAAATTATCATTACTTCAGGTAATGGACTCAACATTTGAACAAATTTACAATTCATTCATTCACTATAACAACGAATTTAAATGCAAATTATAATCATATTAGCAGTGATTAAATAATTAAATGACAAACGCATTCACTCATTAAATCTATTTCGTGTCTTAAGTTAAATGAAATTCAATTAAACAATATTTATAAAATACTTACCAATCAATAGATTTACGAATGAAAGTAATTTCAAATAAATTGAAATAAAATATAATCAAAACTGAAATTAAAATTCTTGAATTGGATTCACAGTTTTGACAGAATTCACAGAATTGCATGAATGAAGCAATTGATGGAAATTTTCATATATCTATGAAGACATGCGTTTCACGTGAATCGCAGTCTCTCTGGAGTCGGTCTTTGCATACACTTTGCTATCATTCAATGTTTAACCAAATGATTATATTATATAAGTTACCAATTATATACTGTATTTATTTTATATTTTTTATTCATTCGAAAAAATCAATTTTTATTAATAAATGATTTGTTTGCAATTTTAAATAAGTTTCCATAGTTTCATACAAATGACACCAATATTAAGAACATTAGAAATTACTTGATCTTAAGTTTTATGCTATGTTTAGTTGCTTTCGTGGAGTTAATGATGAAAAGAGGGTAATTGATATGGGGTTACAGTTAATATTAAGTTTTCAATTAA